AGGGCCAAATTTTTCTATCAAAGCTAGAAAAAACAATGTTATTAAGTGTAAAGCCGAATAAATTATCACCTCAAATTTTGTAAATAGGTACCTAATGCGAATTAAAAACCAACTTTGGCCTAAGTATTACACAACACTTGAATTTTATCAGTGTTTATTTGAATCTTTTGAATAATATTATTTAAGACATTTAAACCAATACTATTTTGAATAAGAGGTAGGTTCCTTTCTGCCTGTCCTAAACATATCCATATCCGGCGTAATTAAGATAATATTTGGTAAACCGATAATATCTTTATCCTAAAAGGTAATTGATAAGAAATACACAGGACAACTTGCATGAAAAGAATTTTTGTGCCCATAAAGAATAGACATTAGACTGTATAAAAGAATTTTCAGGACCATGTGTTTCGTAAAATAAAAAACATGGTCGTAAATGCAGTTTATGTCTTTTTATCTACCTATATTTAGGTATTTGTACATCTATCAATTCGATCCTACCAAAATAAAGAAATGATCCATTCAGAAGAGTTTGAAGTTGGTACTCCTAAGAAGTTCCTAGGTTTTTAATATACTAAATATTTTTTATTAAACGGTAACAATTGGAAATGCTAAATAAAAAGTTTGCCTATCCACATTTTCCATGTAGATAAATAGATGCAAATTATTATGTTATAATGATAATAATACTTACTTCTCTTCCTTAAAAACTATAGATTACTCAGCAACCATAAAGTTATTGACTCACAACACTTGGTCTGGCAATAGAACCGTCGCCAAATAAACTTTACCGGTAAAGTTCAATCCAAACTTTGCGAGTTCGTATTTACGCGGTCGTCATGGTAACGGATGTAAATACAATATGGCGCCGAATGCGCGCGCGCCTCTGTGAACGAACGCAGACTGGCTGCGCCTGCGCCGGCCACCGACCACCACCGCGGTTCTTCAGAAAGCGAGAGGAAGAGCCCAGGCTCCAAGCCAGTTTTTGTTGTGCGAGGACAAGTGCATGTTTCCATTACTAGCATTGATTTGTATGCATACTGTAGTCTACTACTGTGGCAGTTTTTGTGGGCGTAGCTTGTTAGCGCGACATCTCCTATTTATATCACGCCAATTAAAATAAATCATTGATGGACGATAATGATCCATCCTCCTAGTACATACGAGGAAACCGGTTACACAACTTCCGTGAAAATTTATCGTTTAGATTACCTATGCGAGTGTGGAGACATGCGATATATTTGTTTGATAGCAACAAGGCCGTGCCTTACATTGCACGGAGATGGCCTCGGCCGATGAGTTATTATTATAAACGTCTGGGACTTATTATATCACACACTTCAGTAACCATAGGTAAGTTACAGGTACAGTCACGTTGAAATTTGATTCAATAATCAGTATTATCAATTTATGTAACAATTCTAATATGAATGACTAACTTCCTGCGCTTTCCACAGGAAATAACTCATAAACCACCTCGCGTAGCGCAGTCGGGGAAAAAAAGGAAAATTGACACTGTAAGTAGGCAAGGTAGATTAACGAATGAGTTGGTTAAAATAAACGACATAATTATTTTCACATAACTTTATATTTGAATGAGTAACTTTCAAATCCAATCTCCCATTTAATAATAATAAGAACATAAAGCTATACACAATTCAATAAGGTTTTATATTTAAATAATTCTGACGAGTTACGGCATCCGTAACTTTGCGTTAACCTACGTATGTTATTATTATTACAAAGCAACATCATGGACAATCTTTAAACAATACATTAAGGTTACAAATTAAAACTATCGTACAAGCTAAGTCCATTTCATACAAAAAAGTCCCCGCTTCGGAGTGGTGTTAAAACAAGGTTGCGTGGATTATGAAATGGGTAAATTAGTCGAAAAGGTTTACACACCGATTACAATACAGTAGGTAATACATGCTACACAAATGTTCGATAAGTAACATTACGTGGGTACGTTAATTCTGTAACAAAATTATAATTTAATTAATTAAAACAAATGATATGATGCATTCTTGTAGCGTTCGGCACTAGGGTGCGACTCGCGTGAATAAACTCTAGCCAAGTAGCGTAATATTGAGGCGAACAGACAGGCCTTCATTGTACATTGCGTAGTGCGGAGAGATTCACGATCCTATGTAGTGTCCCGACAACATTACGCTACCAGTTTAGATATTTATAAATATAATACTAAACTAAAAAAACATAAATGTAACAAAGCAGACTGGAAGTTAATACGAAAGAAGAATATTAGTACAAGCGTTGAGGAGATATTAGAAGAGAAAGGAAGCCAACTAGTACAATCCTTAGTTACACTAACATTCTGTTGTATAAAATATCACTACAATGTACAGACTATTTACAGATTAGTAGGTACAATAATATATTCCATATTGACAATAATTAACGATGACTATTGACTATGCAATTAAAATCAACACGAAATTGTTATACAATATCTACTTTATTTATATGTTTTTTTTCACAGTATTTTTTATAACGGGACTTAATCTAACGTACTGATAGCACCTAAACTGTTCAATGTACATCGAGACTTACACAGTATTGACCACTTGGTCGAAGCACTTTGCGACAAACTGTTCCTTGTCGTCCAACTTTCTGACGTCATTACCCACATGACGTGTTAGCATAGCATCTTGTAACGCGTTTAGAGCTTCAGAGGTGAACCTCTTTCCTTTAAGATGAGTGATGACCGACGCTTCGCCGTGGAATCCAGATTCCACGAGTCCTGGAGGGATGTTAAGAGTGACGTCGTCGATGAGACCCTTCTCCACCGACATGCTGATAACCAGCTCTTGTGTCGCAGAGTAAACTTTGGAGGGAGCGAGCAACTCCGCCGGCACGGGGAAGGTACGACTCACTGTGAACACCGGTGTTCTACCGAAGTTCCAGTCCCAGGACTGAAGCTCATTTTTGATATCCGCAAGACCTGACGAAAAAATAGAAAGATTAATTTACAATTCACATAAATCATAAGTATAACTATTTGGTTCTGATTTCTTCTTTACTTGTTTCATTGATTTTGTAACTGTTTTAGCTTACCTGGGAACCAGTCATCAGTAGGGTTGATGTATTGGAAACCTCGCTGCTTGGAGATCTGGGCGGTACCCCCATCTTGCAGGCTCAAGGCGGCTGTGCGCAGGAACTCATAGCCGACGGCAGTCTGCAGGCTGTCCACGGTAATGCGGTTGTCCATCTCTGCCAGGTTGGCCACTTCAGAGCGAGTGGATGCAGTCGCCTGAGTCTGTATGCCATGCTAAATAGAATTAAAAATGTCCTTCTTATAAACTGGAGGGGAGGTTGTCAAGTCAAGGTCAGTAGTATTAGTAGAAGAGTTAGTCAAGAAAAAACAATCACAACCACCAAAAGGTTAATAAAACAATGAATTTTGTGAATACAATTTGATTCGTCGAGAACATTGTGCAATATAGAATATTGCTTTGCGCGTGCAATTCAGTATTGAGTGTTTACGCTTTTGTTCCCGCAACGTAAAGTGATGACTCACAGGTAAACAATGAAATGCAATATGTACGACCTGTGACATTACTGAATATTCAAAAAAGCATACTGGGCCTGCTTGGTACCAGCATACTAAATACATCGTTATATTTGACTATTAAATTATTTTGTATATATTATAAATTCATTACAACAACAACAGTCAATTTAGGGGAAATGTAAATCGAGATAATGCTAAGTCAAAGTCCAATCCACATGAAGCAGTCAAAATTCAACATCTGATGAAATAAATTACTGTGGGTGTAAGTATGGGACTAAAAATACTGATAGCAAAAATAGGTCAACAGCCAAAATAACATTGATAATGTACTACTACGTAGATGACACACAAAAATAGAGTTAATTAGAAGAAGTGAAAAACAAACATGTCAGCAAGTAAGTAGGTAGATAATTAAAGAAGGCAAGTTTTATAAAGTTCTTTGTACTAGAAAAGGTAGAAGCACACTTATGCTGTTCTGATCGCCGTGCATCACGTGACACCACTTCCGTGCGTACTAGAACGTGGCTGGTTTGCTAACTTTGCTGTAGTGTTATGAGCATAATCAAATTCAATTTTTTAGACATTAGTATGCTTAAACCTTTAGTATCCAGTCTTTTAAGGAGATTGTTACTCACCTCACGTTTAGCAAGGGCTCTGCTGAGATCTGCCTTATTGGCATTGACTAGAAGTGTGCAGTGATGATATCCTGTCAAACGGCCAAGCTTAGCAGCTGTTCCAGATACCTGATAATATGGATGCTAAGGAAACTAATTTCAATATAAATATTGGCATTTGTAATGGCAAAAGTTGTTTTTTGTAAACTTTGTAACCCCAAACATAGACCCCATTTTATTCTGAAATTAAACCTTCTTCTACTTGTTTTGATTGACTTTGAAAAGGATACTTTGTATTTATCTCGAACAATCATATCTTGGCGTTCATTAATGATGGACTTGATTCCAAAACCTCTGAAGAGTGCTCTCTTGATCAGCTCCAAGTTGTATTTCCTGTCATACCTCTCACGTGGGGTGAAGAAAGTGATGTTGAGGTTGCCTCTGTCATGGTATACAGTACCACCACCACTGTTACGTCTTGCAAGAGCTATTTCCCTCTCATTGAGAAGAGGGATGTTAGCTTCTAACCATGGATTCTGATGTCTTCCAATTACTACACAAGGTTCATTACGCCAAACCATCATTACATGATGGTTAGTGAAATCCATGTTACGGTACATCCAGTCTTCCAGAGCCAGATTAGTAAATATGTCCGTTGATTGGGACATGAACACAGACTTGGTGATCTCCCCCTCAGCCGGTAAATCGCGTTCCTTCTTAGCATTTAAGTTCTTGCTTGCTGTCACCAAGCTGCGAGAGCTGGTTCTTCTTGTCAGACCCACCATAAGGCAGGAGCTGCTAGCGACTATTTTCTTCATCATTGATTGAGCCATCTCTGAATGTTATATTTGTTTTAGGAATTAGATAATGAGTTCTCAAACGGATACTTTTCTGTATGAACTTTATAACCACACTTTATTAAAAGTTAATTACTTAATTATTATTTATTACCTAAATAAATTGACTAATAACAGTTCAAATTGTCCATAGAATGTTATAACCTAGTGCTTAGAGCAACAGGCGTCAGTATCAGCCGACGAGAGGGAGATCAAATATTCGTGAAGTGCGATTGTCTGATGCAGCCACTTCCACGTTTGGTGCAGGGTATTAATTCGAAAACGAATTCCCAAACAGTCTCGACAGTCACTTGGCATTCCTCTTCTTGAATGCAGAATGTACAAAAAAATCACTACACAATTACTCACAAAAACAAAACCCGAAAGGATTCAAGAAATTATATCAGATTTATTTGCGTAAAACGACAACGAATTACAAAAACAATTACTGAGAGAGAACCGAGAACAGTATGTGATCGCGCCACGATATCTGATGAATTAAATGAAATACCTTCCGTCGTCTCATTTTATTCGTGCTGATAATGATAAGCGTACTGGGGAACTAGGAGGTCGAGCGAGGTCATTCGAAGTTCAGTCCAAGACAAGAAAACAAACAAGTTGATAAGAAGCACGAAGTAGCCACGCGCACACAACCTTATCACATTTGTCTTGGACATTTAATATTACAACAGATAAGTCGTGTGTTACTTCTAACCACAATTGTAGTGCTTTTTATTACGTACCATTTCATATTATAAAATAATTCTCGTTCTCGATTGTGCTAACATGCACTCCGCATTTGAGTAAACCAAGGTTGCTCTTTTCTCATCATTGAAGTGTAGTTAATGATCAAGTATTCTGGGTAACAGACTCATTTTTATGAATTCTAAATAATACTTAATTTCCAATTTCCATTGTTTGGTAATTTCAGTACAAATATCAAACATTGACATTTTATACGTACTCCTGGATGTCGGCTGACATTTGACATTTTGACAGAAATTACTTACTTCCTGTCAAAAGAGAGACAATTTTGACGAAACAGGCATTTTGTAAATCGAAAACAGCTGTTTTATGCACTACGCTGTAAAGGGATGATGGAATGAATGGTTAATTCTTATTAGAAACAATTTTTCGCTGCACTTTAGAATGATATTTCTCATCAACAGCCTATAAGTTAGGTACCACTGCTGACCAAAGTCCACTTCTCGTATGGACAAGATTTGGGCCAATTTAAGCATTAATCCATAGAGATATAAGTATATAAAAGTCTGTGCATTAATCTCCATCACCCATCACCACACTTGCTCAATGGCGGTTGGTGATTTCAAACTTATATTTAGAAATTATAAGTCCTGGTTGAAAATTCAATTAAAATTATTCATTAATGGGGGTTAATGTTTTTGGTCCCCAAATGGCGCAAATGAAGAAAGGAGTTGTTGAAGGAGGTCGTGTGACAATAATGGATGGAGAACGAGCATAGATATTACTCTTATCATACCAGTGAGAACGAGAGCCATACTAGCGCCATCTAGAGAGGAAAATACGAAAACTGATTGGAACCATTATGGGGCATAGCTATTTATTCCAATCACTTTTTTATATTTAGCCACACTACCAATTCGTTTTGGTGGTCTAGGCCACTGATATGATAAGAGTAGTCCAGGCGTCCGCAAAATTTCCAGTGTAAGTTTACCGGCGTTCATCTCTTCTGTTCACAGCACTACAACTTTAACAAAAAAATTTAAGCAGGTGTTATCACTGAACCCGACGTGCCGTGTCTGACCGATGCGATGAACGTCTGGACAGAAACACGTCCCAATTCAGCCTTGCCTATCAACCCTTCCTCCCAGAGACAATGGGACGAGCCGCTTTGCAGGTTGCATAATAATCTCATTAATACGAGCTCCAATCCTGCGGAGTTAGCTCGCCTATTGGCTGTGGGTGAGTGGGAATCAGGCCTCTGGCTTCAGGCACTTCCGTCACTCAATATTGGCAAAAATGTTGAATGACTCAACTTTTCGGCTTCCTGCTTGCTTGCGTGTAGTTGCACCCTGTGTTTCTCCGCATCGCTGTCAATGCGGTGAGATGGTCCAACCACCTCTGACACGACGGCCTATCGTGTAACAGAAGCGCTGGCCGGATAGCCCGACACGCCAGCATTAACGACATTATCCGTCGAGCTCTTGTCATCGCCGGTGTGCCAGCTGTTCTGGAACCATAGGGCTTGGCACGCGACGATAGTAAGAGACCTGACGGTATGGGAAGCTGGGAAGGTCTTTGTTGTGCGACGCAACCTGCGTCGACACCCTTGCACCTTCTCATCTTCCAGTAACGGCGAGTTGTGCTGGTTCGGCTGCTGCCTCTGCAGAAAACCTCAAGCGGCGCAAGTATAACAACCTTGCTGGTAGTTATATCTTCGAGCCCTTTGGGGTTAAGACGCTAGGTCCGTGGGGTCCGAGTGCGCTTAAATTGTTCAAAAACATTTCGAAACGCCTGGTCGACACATCTCGTGACCAGAGGGCTGGGGCTTTTTCTCGGTCAGAGGTTAAGCATTGCCATACAACGTGGCAATGCTGCCAGCCTTCTGGGTACTTTCCCCACTGACGTCGATGCGGACGAATTTTTCGATGCTTTATGTAAATAGTTGTTTTTGTTTGTCCTATAATTAATTTTAATCTTAAGTTGTATTTATTTAATTTAATAATATTTAGTTAAAATTTTATTTAAGTAATAGTTTTAATTTAAGTTTTTCATTTGAATAAAGGTGTTTAGAACACAAGTTTTTCTGGTAGTCCTATTAACGTGAATAAATTTTTTCTTTCTCTTTGGCAAGTATAAATTTTTTGTCTCTGGACTGTACAAAACAAATGTCAATGTCACAAAATGTACTAATGTCATTTGTCAATGTGACTTGATTGAAAAAAATTGTACGCAAGGGGCACGGTCGAGTTTCGATCGAATATTATATTTTCAAGCACTGAGATTACACAGTTTCGAAAAATATGGCTTTTAGAACCACCAGTGTTGTACTAAGTAAGTAGTGAACATAAATTATCATTATAAGTTATTCAATAACATTACTTTAACAATAATGTTATGTAACTTGCTTATTTTCAGGCAACATGAAGAAATGGGCCTACAACATGTCTGGTTTTAACAAATACGGTAAGTTTCTAAACAAATTTTATCAGTTTAGGTTTAGACCAATCCTATAATCTATAGTATCTTCAATACACAATGAGAGAGTCTTAACATGAGCCCATGCCCACTGATACTGAACATGACATGACATGACATCCTTGGAAAATCCTTAAAGGTAATAACTACATCTTTCCTCTTTGAACATTTGGAATAATATGTTCAATTTTTGAAACTAGGAAACAGGTCAATGGATATGCTTATAAACAGATCTCAAATAGTTTTCATAGACGAAGACAACATAGACCAAGTTCAGTATGCTTCTTATCGAACTTCGCCATACACTTTTAATATAACTTCAAAGGTATGGCTCTGTCATTAAGTATATAAGGTTTGAAGCTCTGACATCAAGAATAATAATATTTTTTTAACATTCCAGGTCTCCTTCGTGATGACTGTCTTCATGAGACCGAGGATGTGACGGAGGCACTCCGCCGCCTCCCACAACATGTTGTTGATGAACGCAACTTCCGCATTGTACGTGCCCTGCAACTGTCTCTCACCAAGACCATCCTCCCCAAGGAAGAGTGGACTAAATGGGAGGAGGACCAGCTCTACCTCACACCTATTGTAGACCAAGTGAAGAAGGAGAGATTAGAGAAAGAAAACTGGGAGAAGAACTATTAAATAGCAGTTGTTGTAATGTTTGGTGTATTATTATTTAAATAAATTTAGCATCGTTCAATTTGTAAATAATTTTCCCCCTATATTTTTATTTTATTTATTTAAAGTTGTATGCTACTACGTCAAAATATCTGCATCGCTAATTAAATGATTCATCTGAAGTAACTGTATTCTCTCTTAATTTTTTTTTATTACCAATCTAAGTTTATTTACAACTTTAAGAATGGAAGCATTTTGTGCAGTCGAGTTTAGATAAACTACTATTACAATATTTCTCATAAAGGTTTTCAGAAGGGACAAATAAATCTGTATCCTGAGAACTCCATACTTTTACAAATGACCTCAGTTCAATAACAATGAAACGCATGTATAATAAAAACAAATTTATTTTTTTACAAAATACAAAATAAAATACAGAATTCGAAGAATGTAATATAATAATTTCAAAAAAAAAAAGTATGGCAACAAAATATATTATGGCCACTAAGAAAGATAATTTAAAATTACAATATAATAATATGTATATTACATAAATATATGGTCCCTTTTAAAATAACACGACGTTTCATAACAACAATTAAATTCCACCTTTTCATATCAACAGTTGGCAACATTTCAAGTAAATAAAACGAGATAATTATGATCATAACACATGTCACTATAAAATCTATATAAAAACAAATGCTTCTCTAATGCAATAAAATTATAACATACACTATGATCAATAATAAATAAATAAAGATCAATTCAAGAGTATAAAATAGTGTATTATAGTTTTACCATGTAACAAGTGAGATTTTATTCCAATTAAGTTTTATATAAACAAAAAAAATCAAGGACCTATTAAAAAAAATTGAAGACGATATGAATTAAGACAACCGCATTTACACTAAATTACTAAAACTTACTGATATAAAACAAAGTGTGACCGTTTTTTTTTTTTTTTTTAAGCGGGGAAAATCATCGAATGACTGCCCCCGCCTGGGTGAGGCGGGAGGGAGTGTCAGACTCTTACTGACTAAAAACCACCCCGTTCCTTCTCCTGCACGTCGAGCCGGAGCCCCGGTTACCCGTTAGGTTCTCCGCGACTCCGAATCGGCATCGGCCCTATTGGGCCCCATCTGTGGTGGTCTGATGGCTCTTTGAGGCGCGCGCGGAACGCGACGCGCCGTACGCTCGGGTCTGTTTCTGGTCGGACGGGGAGCCACACATGCTCGCCGTCCGCAGGCCCGCGCTTACGGTGGCCGGAGATCGTAAAGTGTGACCGTAAGTTATTATTATAAACTTATTGCAATTGATATGATACATACTTTATTCAACAAAAACCGTATACTATAATATGAAAATGCCATTGGAGCCAGCCAAAAAAGTCATTGATAATCTCGAAATTGTAATAATAAAACTATTAATGGAATACGAAGTAATATCTTAGGAGTTCTCCAAGGTTCAGTTGTGGGTCCATTCTTTTTCATTCGTTACATTATGATTGATTGCATTCATACAGTATGATGTTAGCATACATTAGTATTATAGTCTGATAAAAACCTTGTCCAATCTCAAAACTTCTAAATTACCACAGGGAATAGTACAAATACAGTGGGCACTATTGGGCTACCTATAAAAGGAAGAGAGCTAAATTGAGGGTAATATTAACATCTTTCTTCAGTAAAGCCGATAATTCAAAAGAATTTTAAGCCCTAAAGTTTAGAAAGACTCAGTTTCTATTAAGTTCTGTACAAACATCCATTATGTAATTCATCTACAACATTATTTAAATAGACATTTAGAAAAGCAGTAGAGACATTGCAAAAACGACTTTGTAGCCTTATACAGAGAGAAGTTAATAAAAATGCATTGTAATATTCACAGAATCTAAAGTTTAAATCTAATGTATGCTATGAACAAGAGAACATATATTACGACGACATTTTATATTTTTGTTCTAAATTACTAAACATATAATTGTGTATTTGTTATGTTTAATCTGATTACTTACGTATTGTATCACTATAATCCATACGAACTATTCTACTATGGTATATGTATAGTAATAGTTATATTGGTTCAGATTGGATAATACATATAATGACAAAATGTAATATAAAATCAGGCGAGATCTTGAATTATTCTACAAAGTACATGCATATGATTATGGATTAATGGCCATAATTCACTACTGATAATACAGGGTACTACCTATTGGAAAAACCTGTAGATATCAGACTAATAATTATTAATTACACATGCATTCAAAACTTTTTACTACAGAATAAAAGTAATGTATAGTCTCAGAATATATTTATAGTCTTTTGATTAGGAATTACTTATAAGAAAATCAGTTTTTTTAAGATAATAATGGAATAAGAAATATTTTTATTATTTCATTTCATGATATAAACCATTAATTTCTATGAGTTTATAGTTTTTGCCTTTCTGCGAGTCATCTGACGGACGGACTGCCATTTTCTCGGTCGGTTTAAACTTCACATTATATCTGCGTCTGCCAGAATATTTCTAAGATCCGAAAACTGATATATGCGATTGCTTTTACTTATAATAAAACACAATAAACAATTATTGAGAAAATCATGAGCAAAATGTTAGAAGATACAAAAAAATGTTACTTAGTAACTAGAAAATACACTTACATAATATGGCAAGTATGTAGACTGTTTAACAATATTGATATGACGTACAATTTGATATACAGAGTTCATAGCCGACTTTTTTTATACCACTACGGTGGCAAGAAAAGCACACGGCCCACCTGATGGTAAGTGGTTACCGTGGCCTATGAACGCTTGCAACACATACTACATAGTAGATAAAAGTTAGGTAAAATGTATAACTATCTAAAAAGACAATTAGATAAAAAAATATTCTGTACAAAATACGAAAAAATGCAAATATGTATACAATTTTTACAATTTTCTCTACACATAATTATTGGCAACTTTGTTTCCGAGTAATAAATTTTCTTTGGAAAACATTATTGTATTTAAATTCGAGTGTTGTAGCCCTTACAGTTCCTCGTCTCCTATGGCTTCGAACGCGTTGTTCTCGACGCACTCTCTGCCGGGCTTGAAGGAGACAGTCGCAAACTTTTCTGTCAACTTCTGCACAGAAAATATCTCTCTCGAACTACCGGAGGTACCAGAGTCTCCGTTCTGTAAACATAATAAAGTATGGATTTACCAACTCAATAAGCTAAAACAAAGTAAATCAATATATTTATCGACACTTTTTTATTCAGAATTAATTATGATCATCCTACACACAAAGGCTTCAAGCATATTATCACTTTCCTAAAAATTCTAACCTAGACCTACTGAAGTTAAATCAGAACCAGATAAATACGATAATAAACGTACAGTAGAGCTGAGGGTATCGCTGGAGGAAGATGGTGTGATGACTTGACTGGAGCCGTCGCGTCGCAGGTACGTTAGGCTGCCTCGCTTATTGCACCGCGGTGATGCTGGGCCCTCGCCTGCTTTCTGGCGCATCAATTCATCCACGATTGACTGAAATTAAATTAAATGGAGGATTCATAATTAAGAGAAGGAGGGTGCATTACTTTTAAAGACTACTACACACATGCCGCCGGGTTCATACCGAGCGGCTATGCCGCTGGCAATACAAGCCGCACAAAGCCGTCAAGCATCATTCCGGTTGTGACAGTCACATAGAACGCTAGTGAAGTGAAAATTTTTTAACCCGCCGGCATACCCCGGCGGCTCCTTTGTGCGGCAAAGCCGGCGGCTTTATATGCCGGCGGGTTCACGGCGGCCCTGCCGCCGGCACTGTGTGTAGCCTTAAGAGATAAAACGTTCAGATCACACTCAGTAATTAATCACATGCAATAAGGAAATCGTATAATTATTCGGAATCTCGTGCACCGTAAGACAACTACTTCTGAACAAAAGCCTCCAGGCAGTGCCGGATTAAGCCAGCGCGGGGCCTGTAGCAAATTCTGTCTAGGGGCCCTTGGTTTGCTATCGGTTCTCATTTGGGCATTGACTAAATTTGGTGCCTTTCTTTTTTCTGGCGTCAGTCGATGATTTATAGAAAATATTGTCTAGAATGACATTACAAACGAAATTGTCTATGGGCTCATGTATGGAAATCTCAGTCTGGACTGAGTTATGAGCGTTGAAAGGAGCTGAAGTCAAACATTTTACTTTGGTTTTTTTTTATTCAAATCTTATGTCTTATACTATTATCTTATACTATTATATAAAGCGGAAGAGTTTGTTTGTTTGTTTGTTTGAACGCGCTAATCTCCGTAACTACAAGTCTGATTTGAATAATTCTTTTTGTGTTGGATAGTGCATTTATCGAGGATGGCTATAGGCTATAAAACATCACGCTACGACCAATAGGAGCCGAGCAGAGCGTGT